TATAATAATAAATTTACATAAATGTATATCTATTTTAGTTGTTAAAATTATATTATATATATATATTATCTAATATACATTTATTTAATTTTATATATATGTATTTAGAATAAATTTTACATTGTCACTTATTTAAGGATTGTTAATAAGCTTAAACAATTTAATAGAGTTATTCTTGCATTTTTTAGATGGATGTTTTCTTAGCAATTTGCTTATTTGTATTTTCTTTAATCAAGTCTTCTACTTTTTTAAATTCTTTTCCAATGAAATCTAATCTTTTACTCACATTCTCTTTAGACTCTTATAGTGTTTATGAAACCTTTATAAGTTATTGCAATGATTAATTACCAAAACACTAGCAATAAGTTTGTATACTTTTGCTTCTGGTTCAAGCAAATCAAGCTCCTTTTTGACCATTTCATTTTCATGAGATTACTCAATGAGTTTTTACCTGCCTTCAATTAGAGTAGGAGTGTATACCTTCAACATACTTTTACATTTCCCTTTGTAAAGTCTAAAGATGTTTGGATTCTTCTTCAATCTTACTTTATAACATCTACACCTATTCAGCCATTAAATATTTTAATATATATCATGATTTTTATTCAAACAAAGCAATTTCTTCATTAAGTAATTACAACTCTTTTTCTTTCTAAGCAATTTTTAATTTGATTTCTTGATTTTCCTTGATCAACCCAACCATAAGGGCAGGATCATAAGAAGGTGTCTGAGATTGTGAAACCGTTTGTCCAGGTTAAGGCATTTTGATATGTGGTTTTTTTATGACAGTTTTTTATGGAGTGACTACAGGAGTTTGTTTCATGATAGGATACTGTTGCATAGATTAAGTGTTTCTTAATCTCTGGTAGTCTAAACGTAATGTATTTGGAGTTCCAATTCTTTAGATTTGAGATGTACGTTGTGTTGGTGAGACAAAAGGACCATATTAGTTGAGATTTTAGAATTGTGGTACTACAGGGTATCGTGTTGGTTAACGAATTTGCATTTATATATATAAATATATTTTTTATTAATGTAAAATCAAGTGGATCTAGACATTGACACAGGTCAATTTGATACTATGGAGAGAGACTTTTAAGAAGTGTTAAAAGATTTAGGCACTGATTAAAATCTAGAGAAATTTAGATCTGAGTTTGATAAACTTTATCGTTCGTTGAAAATCATTCACGAGAATTAAAGACGATTAATCAGCAAATGTAGGGAGTATAATGCTGAAATCTCTTAAAATGCATCTAAAGTATTCATGAATTTAACATTAGATTCAAACTGTTTTAAAAATGACAGCTGATGATTCTGCTGCTATTTAATAATTGAAAACTCAATTAGAAAAAGCATATAAAGTGTTAGAGATTTAATAAGAGAGGGAAGAGAAACATAAATAAAAGATAAAAATCTAAGAAAATGAAATTAAGTAATTGTTATATTATTATATATAGATAACTTAATCAAACAATTGAATAAAGTAAAGCTTTAAATTCAGGATAGACTACAACTGTACATGAGTTATTATAAAGGAAGTAGGAACTGTTAAAAGAAAAAGAAATTTTATAGATTTAAGTATTTGGAACAAGATCAGAAAATTAATCAATTACAGATAGAATTAAGTCTTTAGAGACTTCTAAGGAATCAGTTATGAAAGAATATAAAATATTATAGCAATAGAAATCTGAATTTGAGGAGAGATTATAAAAAGATGAAGATGCAAAAAATGTAACTTAAGCAGAATTGGAGAAAATTAAAAAGGATTTTGATTCTTTGAAAGAGGATGAAAAGTAATTAGGAAATGAAAAGAAGAAATTAAAAAGTGAAATTGAGAAGGTGACATTATAAAATAGTGTTAAAACAAAAGAGATTGAAAATTTTAAATCAGAAAAAAATAGAGTGGATAAAGAATTAAGGGATACAAAAGAGAAATTGGATTCTGTGGAGAAAATAAATGAATAAATAGAAGAGAAGATTAAGGATACTAGATTATAGATAGAATTGTTTGAAACAGAAATTGCATAACTTCATTAAAAAATAAATGAAGGAGAAGAGAAAAAGAAAAAAATGACAGAATTAGTAAAAGAATAAGAAGAATTGGAATAAAAAATTGAAGAAGAAAAATTATTAGCTAATAATGGATTAAATTAATTAGAAGATGAAATTTAAGTAGAAAGAAAATAAGCATAAGATGATAGATAAGTAATTGAGGATTTAAGAAGGGCAAGAAATATATTATAAAAAGAAATTGATAGATGTGATAATAATAATAAAAAAATTGAAGAAGATTTTATTGCTAAATAAAAATATTTAAGTGAAAAATAAAATGAATTAGGTGGTTTATAAAAGAAAATTGATTATCTCAATAAAAAAATTGCAAATGTTGAAAGAGAAACAGAATAATAATGTTTATAATTTTCATAAGCATAAACTAAATATTTTCATTCATTAGATGAAATTAAATTAAAAGATTCATTAATTAGTGAATTCTAAAAAAAGAATATTGAAACTGAAGCTAAATTAAAATAATAATAAAATTTATATGAAACAGTTAGAAGTGATAGAAATCTATATTCTAAAAATTATACTGAAAAATAATAAGAAATTGAAAAAATGAGAAGAAGTTATAAAATAGTAAATCATTAAATATCATAATTAAAAGAAGAAATTGAAGCAAAAGGAAATGCATTAGCTAAAGAACATTTAGAACATAAAAAAAAGGATAAAACTATTGAAGAATAATCTAGAGTATTAGAAAAATATAAAACAGATATAGATGAAAAAGCTGAAAAGATTAATAAATATATTAAAAGAGTTGATAAATTATAATTTACAATTAAAGATGAAGAATAATAAATACAAAATCTCAAAGAAGAATTTGAATTAGTTGTGGCTGAAAGAGATATCTTAAGTACTTAACTCATAAGAAGAATATCAGAAACTAATCTACTTTATGAAAAAATCAAAATTAATGAAAGTACTCTTAAGAAAGGAGAATAATAATATAGAGAAAGATTAGGAGATATATAAATGTTAAAAGAAAAAATAGCTGATTATAAAAGAGAAATTAAGGTTTTTAAAAGAGAAGCTGATACTATTAAAGATTTAGAAGGAGATATACATAATCTAACAAAAGAGTTAACAGAAGAGAAATTGAAAGCAAAGGCTTTGACAGAAGAATTAGAAAATCCAATGAATGTACATAGATGGAGAAAATTGGAAGCTACAGATTCTGAAAATTATGAATTAATGACTAAAATTCACAGTCTTTAAAAGAGACTAATTCAAAAAACAGAGGAAGTTGTTATTAAAGAGAAGGTTGTAGAAGAAAAGGAAAAGGAATTAAAGGCTTTGAAAGATGAGATGAAACGTAAACCAGGATTAGAGGATTAGGCTATGATACCTTATTATTAAGATAGTCTTAGGTAGAAAGAAGAATAAATGAAAGCTATGGATTAGGAGTTGAGTATGTATTAATCACATATTAATGAATATAAGTTAGAAATAGATAGAATAAATAAAGTAACAATTTTATTAATTTTTAAGGAATTATAAAGAGTTAAATAGAAGTATTTTAATTAAAAGAAGAGAGAATAACAATAAAGAGATCTCCGTATTTAGGAAGAATAAGGATAGTCGATTTAGGTTATTTTACCAGAGAAAAAATTTGTGGGTGGTGGTTTTGCTTTATAAAAATGAAATATCAACTGATATAAAATTAACTAAAATTAAATTGATTTCTTTGAATGTTAAACCTTCTTATGGTTTTAATTAATCTTAATACAAGTTTTAATTTTATATGTATATATGATTTGCATCAGTAGATAGAGAAATGGTAAAAAAGCAGTAATATATCTTAATATAACATTTTAATGTAGTAAATTAAAAAAATGAGATTGAGATTAAAATTATTTTTACAAATTTATGGGAGGAATATGTTAAGCTAATAGAGGATATCCGATCATTGAATCAGGTCCTTTTGAGTACATTTTGCCAACAGAGATAAAACCTTATGAAATGAAGAGTAACCTTTTAGAGGTTTAAGAGATGTGTGCCACCAAAATTCAAGCTTTATTTAGAGGACATTAAGTACGAATAAAGGTAATACTATAGGATAAGTATAGAAAAAAGAACTTGAATAGTCTTATCATCCAGACTCAAAAGTGGCAGTAAAAACAGACCAGGTTCCTGAAATATTCCATCATGAAGTTTCGAAAGTGATGTTATAATTAGGAGCTTTTGATTACTCAAAATGTTAATCAATTCCAGGAGCTAAAAGTTTATGTGCTTATTAGTTTATTGAAAAGGGAGGGATTTATATTGGGTAGTGGAAAGACCATAAGAGGAATGGAAAAGGAAAACATATATTTCTAGATGGGTCAATTTATGAGGGTAGTTGGAAAGACGATAAAGCTAATGGTTATGGAAGATTGATTATGACAAATGGAGATTATTATATAGGGGAATGGAAGAATGATAAAAATGATGGAAAAGGAATATATATTCATTCAGATAAATCTAGATATGAAGGAGAATGGAAGGAAGATCATCTTCATGGTAAAGGAAAAGAGATTTGGGCAGATGAATCAGCATATTTTGAAGGATAATTTGTTATGGGTGTTAAAGATGGATATGGAATTTATAGGTGGGCTGATGGGTCAAGTTATGATGGAGAATTTAAGAATGGATTTTTTAGTGGATAAGGAACCTATTGTTGGTCAGATGGAAGCAAATACAAAGGTTAATGGTCAAATAATAAGATGAATGGATATGGAGAAATGAATTGGGTGGATAAGAGAAAATATATAGGTATAGATTAATCATGATGAGGGGAATTACAAGGATAATAAGAAGGAGGGGTATGGAGAATTTTATTGGTCTGATGGCAGAATATATAAAGGATAATGGTAGAATGGATTTTAGCATGGTGAAGGAATATAAATAGACAGATCAGGAAGAGAGATTTCAGGAGAATGGTTTGAAGGATAGAGAAGATGAAATCAATATATATAGTACTACTTTTGATTAATGTAATAGATCAAAGTATTTATTTTTATTTGAAAACATCATTCAAACTATAAATTTATTCTATTTTTAACTTCAATTAAAAATTGAGAAATTTTATGTTCCATAATTAAACCAATACTTTCTTTGATATTGATTTAATTAGTCTAAAATGGATGATCTTATTTCAAATAGCCATATATTTATTCTACAAATAGAAGTTCTACTTTAAAAAATGGAAGTATGAGGATTATTATTTTAATTATAAATGAATATTGAATCTTAGGATTTTAGATTTCGAGATCACAAAAATCATTAAAGTTTTTAGAAATTGTAACTATAGAATGGCTTTAAGAAACGATTTGACATAAAAACAATAATATTTACTATAAATTCTAGATATTTCTGGAGATAAGGCTTAAAGATAATATTTAAATGTATATATATATCAAGATTAAAATTGGATGGTATAATATTTTGTTTCGATGTGACAAATTTTAAAACTTTGGATAATCTCCAAAAATGGATTTAATGATTATCAGTTAAAAGTGTAATTCATGAAGTCAAAATGAAGAAGTTTTGGAAACTAATAATAGTGAATTTGCTAAACAGATTTGCATAGCTATTTAAGATGAATAGGATAGCTTATTAAATTATAATAGTTATAATGGAATTCCAATGGATGAAATACTATAGATTCCTTTCATTTTTATAGGTTGTATGATGGATTAGATTCTTATGGATAAACAAGTTAGATTGAGATAATAGATTTGTGAAAGAGTATTATAAATATAATTATAAGTAGATAGAGTGTATTATGAGAATAAAGTAAAGAGATAAATTGGAAGAATTTTAGATAAGAGAAAAAATTCAATAAAAAATGATGAAATTGGATGAGTCTTATTGTAAATCTACTAAGAAAATACTATTTGAATAAAAATATTAATTGTTTTGTGTATATATGAAACATTTTTGTTAAAGATTGATGTGTAAAAAGAGAAAGTAATGATGTTATTATTGTTTATAATAATAGTTTAAAATATTATTTATTCATTCATTCATACATTATTCTTTTATTTAATCAATTAAATTAAGTATTTCTCCAGCAAGTTTTACTATATGTTCATTTTAATGATTTAATAGAGTTTCTAATTTTAATTCTAAATCAGTATCATCTATACTATAAGTTTAGTAATAGTAAATTAAAGTGTAGAATATATTTAAATAGATAATTATATTTTCAATTTCTTCTGGTTCATCTAATAGAAATTTAATTTTAAGTATTTAAAATACTCTTAAATCTTATATCAATTCTGTTGATGTATATGTCAAACAATTTGATATGATTCCATAAATTAATCTTAAGTAATTTGAATCTGTCCAATCTAAATTCTAAAAGTTTTAGACAACTTCTGCTATAAAAGGAAGATCTGATACAATCTCTTTTTATAAATTTTCAGAATCTACATTAGTAAAATTAGCAAGTAATTTGATAGATGCTTATCTTATAATTACATTATCATGATTAATATATTATTTAATTATGTCATGTCCTTTTAAAAAGAAGATTCTTTAAACAAATTTTTCATCTTTGAATGCACTAATACCAATCATAAATCTTAAGATAGTTGATATTAATATTTAATTTTCACTATATTCTAATAATTAAACACAAATTTAAAGTGTTGTATTATCTAAATCATTAGATATATTAGGATCTAATGATATAATTTAAATGAGATTTTTAATAAACATAAAAGTAACTTTTGGATATTTTAATTAAAGTGGTAGTAATTATTTCATTAAATAAAATGTATATCTAATCTATAATAATAATAATAATTATGATTTAATACTTCTGGTGTATATTTTTATATAATTAAATCTAATTCTTCTTCAGTAAATATTCTAAATTAATTAAAGAATCTACAAAATAATTCAGTTCCACTTTTTATCATCTTAAATTCTATATCATTATATATATCTCTTATATTTTCTTTTATTATTTAATTTATTATAGTTATAAGATTATTATTTAATAAGTATTCTAATTATTTTCTTGTTAATTCTTATGAACATAAACTATTAAGGGCATCAAATAACTAAATGATTTGGAATGTATTATTACATTATCGATCATTCTAATATCCATTATTTATTTTGCCAATTTTAATTAATTTAGAAATAGTACTTCACATTCTGCAAGATTCTTTTTTGTACAAATATTACTCAAAATTGTTATTGAATAATAATCTGATGTTTATGCACTAAGAAATAATTTATTTAACAATTATTTATCATTTGCTACTTTCAATAATTTTTATTAACTATTATCACCATCATCAATTAAATATTTGTGAAGTTCTTATGATTAAGAAAAACTTGGAATCTCAATTAAGGGATCAACTTCATTATTAACATAACATCTTTTTCGGTTTTGATTGAATATATCTTCTAACCTCTCTTTTCTAATTGAATATCGAAATTCCTCTCTTTTTGTAGATAATAATGATTAATGTTCACTTTTCATAATTATATTTATATTCAAATTATTTATGCCATTCTGAATGTTAACTCTAACTTTCATTAAATAATTCATGAGGATACTATTTTCTTCTCTAATAACTTTTAATAGAATATAAGTTTAATACTAATATTCATCAAGTTTTGGATCTCCTTTATTATCATATTATTTTAAAGGATTCAAATGAACAAATATTCTTTTATCATCAACCATAAATTCAATGAATTTGTATTCTTTTGATTCAGAAGATTTCTAAAGTAACAATTTGCAATCTAATATAACAACCATAGACTTAGTTTTAAATCTGATCAATTTCAAATTTACTCTTAATAAATATGATATTGCATATAATCTGGAATCTTCATTTCATTCTATTACAATGCTTCTTAATATAGATTGGTAATAAAATCAATATATTTTTCACCCATGTTTTTGTCGATAATGATAATGTTCATAAATATATATTATTATATATTTAAAAATTAATCTCAATTCTTAGAATATTCACTTCATTATATTCATCTTTTTATTCATCCTTAATTTATAATAACATAAACTAAAATGCAAGAGGATATGATTTTAGAAAAAAGTTCATAAGACTCTCTTAAACTTATATAAAGATCCTCTATATTAGATAGGAAATATAGTGGTCGTTATATGTTCTAATAATCACAATAGGATGAATAACAAACCTAAATTCAAAGCAATAGAAATCGAATCAAACAATAACTAAAATGTAAACTCTTTTTCATTTTAGGTTAATTGAATGCCATAATTAATAAACAAGTATAGCCCTTATATATGCGTGAAGAGCAGTTGATTGAATTAGGTAGGAAATTAGACTTAGAAATAACCTCTATTGATGTTGATAATATTATACCTAATACAAAGTAGTTTTTTGAAGATTATGAAATTCATGAAAGATTGGGAGAAGGATGTTTAGGCTTAGTAAAACGAATAGTCTAAAAAAATACAGGCTTAGAATTCGCTGTTAAAATTGTAGCCACTTAAGATGAAGAAATTATACGTAATGTAAAAGACAATGATAATACATTTTCAGATGATTATTGAATTTAAGAGATTAGTTGAATTATCACATGATAATATAGTCAAAGCTTACAAAATGTACTTAGATTTTGATACAGGATTTTAATCAGAAAGCTAAGCATTTGTTGTTATGGAATTGATTAAAGGCAAAGAAATGTTTGAAGTCATTAATGATTCTGGACATTATAGTGAAGTTGATGCAAAAGAATTATTCAAATAATTACTTAGTGCAATCGAATATATGCATCGTCATGGCATTTGTCATAGAGATCTTAAGCCAAATAATATTTTATGTCTATAAGGTAAATTATTTATAATCAATACATTTATAGATAGAAAATAAATTAAAGTAACAGATTTTAATGTTAGTAAATTTAGTGATTCATATAAATTATTTGGAGATCTAAAAGACACTGAAAAAATAGAAATGTGGACATATACTGGTACTGTGGCTTTTTCTGCACCTGAAATATTTACAGGAGAAGGTTACAAGTAATAAGTACTTTAATGATATATTAAAAGTTAAATGGTTGATATGTGGAGTGCAGGTTGTATACTTTATTCAATGCTTTCTGGATAATTACCCTTTAATGCAGACTAGTAATTAAATTTTTATCTTATTCTAGTTTGAATGATCTTGTGGAAAATATTAAATTAGCTAAATATGATTTCCCTGAAGAAATCTTTTCAGAAGTCTCTGTTGAAGCTAAAAATTTAATTTAACAATTATTAAAAAAAGATCCTTAAGAGAGACCACATCCAGATAATGCTCTAGTGCATTCTTGGTTTAGAGGCAATGTAGTTAGGAAAACTTTAAAACATCTGACAATTAATAAAAATATTTGTCATCTTTCATCCAAAAATTCAAATAAATAAAGATAGAGAACATTTCTATTGAAAAAAGACTGGTATACAGGATCAAGTGATGGTGAAGATGAAATTTATTACTATGATATTAAAATTAAATCCACCATTAGAAAGAGTTTATTTTACTCTATTAAACCTATGAGAGAATAGTAATATCATATGTACTAACTCAAAGGTACTAATGGATTGATTCATAAGTCTAATACTATAGAAATAGAAGATTTTAAATATAATGATTAATAGTGATTAAAAAAAATTATTTAATTAATTTTATAAATAATTTTAGTTATCTAAAAATATCTTTTTTTTGGGCATTTTTAAACGAATCCATTTTTTTTATTTCTAATCATTAATTAAATTTGGCAATGTAAAATAAGACCGTCTTTGATAAATTAGGAGGATAAGCTAATATTGACGCAGCTGTTGTCAAGTTTTATCAAAAAGTACTCTCTGATCCATCTGTCAGTCATTATTTCAAAAACACAGATATGAAGAAATAAACAGAGATGTAATAAAAATTCCTTACTATGGCTTTCGGAGGACCTAATAACTATAAAGGAAGAGTAATAAAACTATATTATATTAATAGGACATGAAAGCTGGTCATGCTGGTCTTGGAATTACTACCGCTGCCTTCAATACAATTGTTAAGCATCTTGGAGACACTTTGAAAGAAATGGGAGTACCAGCAGAAGTTATTGCTGAAGCTGCTGCTGTTGCAGAGACAACTAGAGCAGATATCGTTGAAATCAAATGATTCATATAAATATAAGTCATTTATTCATTACAATTCATTAACTTCATCTATTACAATATATTTCCTATTGATAACTAATGTCAATGTATAATTTCATGATTATTGAAAATCATTCATTTCATTTATTTTTTTAAAAGGATTCAAAACTAAAAAATAGATGATGAGTTTCTTTTGATAAGAAAGCTTTTAGCATAATGTATGCTACAGATCATTGAATAAATATAGAATTATATTATATCAGTAATATATATTAATTATATTTTATATTTCATATTAATTTTATCAGTCCTAATTTATTTAATATATAGTTAAAGTAATTAAATAATGTATTTAGTATGAATATCATCATATATTGTATATAATAATATATATGTAGAAATAAAAGAGAGTAAACAAAATTATTTATTTTCTTTGTATTTAACAGTCATATATATAAATTATAATATATATAAATATATATTATAATAAAATTATATATAATAAAATTTACACTAAAATCACAAATCCTCTTTAAAAATATTAAGATCAAGACTATCATTCATAGGCTTGAATTACACATTTCCACTAATTATAGAATCAAGAAAATCTTATATATTTGAAAGTGTCAATTCCCCTTAGAGTTTAGCATATCTTTCTTTTTTAGGTTTAATTACTACTGCTGTTGGAAAACTACTTATATCATCAAAGAGTTCTGAATATATTAAGTTACTAAAAATATAAAATGATAATATTACTTCTTATTGATGTAATAAAAATCTATTTTATCTTTCATATAATGTTAAGATAAGGGATTTAATAAATCTAAATAATTATTATTATCCTAAGTAATAATAATAAAACACATTTTAGTATCTTTTGTTGTACATGCTCCATTTTTAATTAATTAAGTGGACAATTCTCTAGGTACTTGATGAGTTTTTTTTACTTTTTTGCTAATATATGCATATTCTCTTAAGAATTTCATAATTTATTCCTTTTTAAAATCATTTTATTCATAGATAACTCCTCTATATTATTCTGGTTCAGTAACTACCATAAGAGTAGGGAATTTTTTGATTTAAAATTGTTCAATCAATTTAGTATCTGAATATCTGACTTATCCAAAAACTAATTTTCCTTTTAACTCTTTAGATAAGACTTTAAGAAGAGGTGGTGTTGAGGTTTTATTAGTGAATAACAAGACTATATGTTATTCTTCTTGTTAAATGAATTTTTCATAGTTTTCATTAGTAACTATACTTACAAAACTTTCCATAAACTAGATAGTAAATTTTGCTAGTTGGTCTATTTCCATACTTTATTTATATTCTATTGGTTCTTATCTGATATTTGCAGGATAAGCATATACTTTAGGAAATTCATATACTTAAAATTCATCATCACAAATTTCATTTTCAGCAGCACAATTTATGGCAGCTACTTAAAATATACCATAATATTTTGATGCTAATTCATTCCAAATATTTTTATGTTATCTACCATAATCATCATTTTTATAGAAGAAAATTAACCAAACATGATCTCTTCTAAAAAATCTATTAATAGTAGTCATATCAATTTCATAAACATCACTTTTAGAAAATAAAGACTATTCAAGATTTGGTTTTTATTATTAAAAGCCTCCTCCTCCAAAAAATCTAGAGAAAATGTCATTATAATTAAAATGTCCTTGTTCTTAAATCTTATTTATAAATATATACATTATTATTGTTATCTTTAAGTATGCTCTTTTAATCCCTCTTCTCCATATTTGTCATATATTTTTCTCTATTCTGGATCTTTAAGTATTTCATATGCATTAACAATCTTTTAGAATTGTTTTTCAGACTAAAATAGAGAATTTATATTTACTTCTTCTTTATTCCCTTTAGCTTTATCAGGATGATATTTGAGAGAAAGTTTTTTGAATGCTTTTTTGATTTAATCATCTGATGCACTACGTTATACTCCAAGTAATTAGTAATAATCTTAGCAAAGTGTTTAAAGGATGATACAGAGGAAAAGGAGAATAGTTTTCATTTTAATTATTAGAACACGTTTATATTGTAAATTCTAGAACAATGAGTTAAAATATTATAAAATATTAGAAAAATGATGGCAAATAAATAAATGATGTATATATATATATTTATGTTTTATATTAAACATAACAACTCAATATCCAGCATCAGCAAGATACTTTGCCATGTCAATGACACGTTTATTGCAATCACTAGCATTCTAAGGTGCACCATTTTCTGCATTAATGGTTTGGGAGAATGAAGCAAAGACAGCGACTGTATTAGCCCAAGCAACACATGCTCCTCCTTTATTCTATTTATTATTATATTTTAAAATACCTTCTTCAAATACCATGTTTTAGATTCAGCATCAAATTATACTGAATAATATTTTTGATTGTTGATTCTAACTCCAGCTTTATTTCCTGATTCTCCATTGTGAGTAAGAGCATGAACAAAAGCAGCCTTTTCATCATAAGCAACCTTGGTTGAAACATCTGGATTCTTCTCATCTGGTACATCAGCTTGATATGAAGGAAGGACAGCAACACCTAGATTGCTTGCCCAAATGTTTCCATCTAATCCAATAATGGCAGCATATTCAAGTGCTCCATTAGCTGTCAAATTTGTCACATAAGCATCCCAAGACATTGTTATTTAATATAATTAATGATAATCATATCTTCTTTCATCATGAACATATATATTTAATTAATTGAAGATACTTAATAATTATATAATATTGCAGAATGTTGTATATAATTTTTATTGTTATTTCAATTTTTTTATGTAGACGAGAATGAGCTATTCGACTTGTTTAACAATTTGTGATAGTAACGTTCTGGTAAGCTTTCCACCTCTAAGGATTCCTCTATTTAAGGGGGATGAGATTCTTACCACATATTATATTTTCTTCTTTTTATACCAAAACAAATACACTGCACAGAACAAAGGCAAAAAATATCCAAAGAGACAAATAAATAAATCAATCAAAGGATTTTGTAATTAATTCTATATAATAGTCAAAATAACTTACATTTGAAAGGAACTCACATTTATCTTAATTATTTTCTACATCTATTATAAAATAGATTAAATCAGAAAACAATTAAATTACTTATCCAAATGCAGTTACACAAACTAAAGTCCTTATTTAATTAATATATATTATATACCAAAATTTCAATTTTATATTTCTAGTCTTTATATATTGAGTCTTCTCTTATCCTGTCATTCTATTTGTGAACATTATTTATTCAATTATTAAAGCATTCATTTTCTTATTAAGAAAATATGCTCCTGTGATAAATATAATACTTGCTAATAATTCCACTAATTTAATCACAAAAATCGGAATGACTAAGTCCTATAATATTTTATATACTTCTGCATTTTGAATTCCATATGTAATAGACTGTTAAATTGATGAATAAAAATGCAGAAAATAAACTAAATAATCCATATGTGCATCCTCTTACTAATTTTGATTTGCTTTTATTATAAACATTAAGATCTGTTGCCTTCTTCGTAAAGAAGTAAACTAAAAAAATCAAAAAGCATAAATCAAAGTAATAACAAAAAAAATAAGCAAATATGAAATCTCTATTCATTGTGAATATTAGAAAAACTATTTTATGAATTCTATACTATAAAGATTAATACATATATTTGATGCCAAAATTATCGAAAATAATAGTTACTTCCTTTTGTAAATTCTTCTCTATTCAATCACTCGCACTGTAATCTGGTATATACATAATATCATCAATAACAAAGAGCATGTCGTTCCTAAATAGAGGCTGTTGAAAGGGCAACTTACTCCAAACATAAACTAAATTCCTAGCAATTCCCTTAAACACAATATATAAATCCTTGTTATTAGCATTGACTCATTAATTATTTTATAAGCAAAACTATTGAATTAAAAATATTGTAAACATTTGAATGATGAATACATTAATAAAACAATTTTTAAGTATCAAAAATAAATAAAAATTGATAAGATAAGTGTGTTTAAGCTCTTACAAAAGGAATACTTTTTTGATATTTATATTTATACTTATAATTATATATATACATATAATAAACTCTTAAAGCAATCTAAAAAGGATGATAAATCTAGAAGAATTAAACTTAAAAAGGTTAATTAGAAGAATAATATTATATAATTAGAAATAAATATAAGAGATATTTTAATTTTTGTTTATTAATAAGTTTAAAGGTTGAGATTATTCCATTAATGAATAATAATACTTAATAATCAAAATAGTAAGAATTTTAATATAAATTAAAGATGAGCTTTCATAACTATTATTCTTATACAGAATTTATTTACTCTTCTAATAGATCTTTAAGTCTTTCCTCTAATGAATTATCTAAATCTTTATTTAATTAATAAATATATTACTATTATCTATTGCAAATTTAGTAGCTAAATTTTCAGGATTGTCACCATTAAATATAGGTAATCTTACAGTCTTTGCATCATCTATTTTTACATCTATATACAAAATAGGAAAATTAAGGAATATTGGTTTGCTTTTAATTTTTTTGCATTTTGGTTCTTAACTCATTGATTATTCAGTTTATAATTTAATTTATGTTCTACTTTCATTGTTTGTAGTGTTTCCAGTACTTTTCAATTTTTCAACTGTTTTTTATCTTAATCTAGCTTCTCTTAATCGTTTAGCTTATTAATCAATATCATATTATGTAGATGCAGTAGAAATTGGAAAATTTTTAATTGGATTAATTTAAGGTGAAAAAGTACAAAATTATTATTGACTTTCAAATTCTACATCAATAGTTGATTTATCTTATTATTTTTTTACTGGTTTACTTAATGAAGTTAAATCAATTGCAAGAGGTCTGATAGTTTATTTTATTTATTTATTTTCTTCTGATTATTCTAATTAGTTTTTCAATTTCTCAATATTATCCTTCTTTTTCTATTCTTATTAAGCAAACCATTCATTAATATTAAGATTATTTTTCTTCTTGATTGCCATATCTCTTGATCTATTACTTAATAAATTGATAACTTAAGGAGGTGATTTTGATTTCTCAATATTTCTTCTTTATCCATTTCCATGATTTAATTTAGTGTTCAAATATAATTATTTGTATTTATTATGAATTTCAATACAATCTTAAGTTGATAATATTAGATTTCCATTTTCATCATTTTTATAATGTGATGCCATAGGAACTTATTCATCATCTTTAGGTATATAAAGAGGTATCTATTAAACTGGTACATTAAGTATTGCAAGTAAAACAATTAATATATTTCTAGAGAGAATATAAGAACCATTTGTAAAGTCATTCCATAATTCTTTACTTTCTCCAAATCCTAATCCTTATAGAATTTATTGAAAATCATTTTCATATATTTTTGAGTAATCCCAACTTTTTTTGACATTCTCTGTATTACTAAGAAAATAATAAAAATCTTTAATAAATCTTTGAATAAACCATTATTAAGATATTTCTGATAATTTACCTTCATTTGTAGCTAAACTTTAACTAGTTAATTAATTTTTCTATTGTCTTGTTCTACTATCATCATATAAAATTTAAGCAACATGTTTCTCTCTTCTTGAATTCTTTTATTTTTCTAAAATCTCATTATTTGTATCTCTTTATTATTTAGATTAAATAAGATTTCTTAATTAAATTGTTTATGATTATTCAATCTTTTTTTGTTAATCATCTTATGTGAATAATTTATTATTATTATTATTATTTTAATCATTTGAATGTTCAACAGATTATTTAAGTATTCTCTTTTTATCATTTTATATTTCAAGTACTTTATTATCTTATTATAATGATTCAATTCTTTCTGGTGAAAGTAAGAGATCTTAACTTTTTACATTAAATGCCCTTGATGATTTGATGTTATCTAAATGATTAGTATATAATTTTTATGATTATAAAGTGTATTAACTTTTTTATACATTTGAGACTTCTCTCCTAGATCCTTCAGTTTTTTGTTTAGGTTTACTTGCACCTCTAACTTTCTCTGGGCATACATTTTAAGTGTTCTCTTATTGTTTAGACTTTCCAAATAGATTTTGTAGCTAATTAAGTGAAGTGAGGGGATGTCTATCTCGAATAACTGACATATTATTAAATTAATATATATATTTCACTGTTTTGCCTCTTTCACTACTTCAATTGTTTTAGCTAAAGCTTTCAATTGAGCAATTGCTAAATCAAGCAAATCAGCTCTGGTCTCAAATCTACATTATTCTGATATCACTTCTACTAAACGTTCTATCTCCTCAATTTAATCTACATAACATTTATAACTCAATTCAACAGTTAAAGTTGGTCTACGAGCCATAGGTCCATAAAATTATATTGGACCTGGATTTTCATAATGATCTTTCAAATACCAATTCTTAGAAATCTAACTGAAGTGTTTAAAGAGTTACTAAATTAATTTAATATAATTACCTATTTTAAATCTACTTCATAACTAGCAATAACAGGTTATGCTTCTCCATAAGCACTCTTCTATTTTATAGATAACATTCCTAATAAAGGAATTACATTAAAATGCCATCTTTCAATTGGACCTGCAATACCTCTTGCTGAAACACAATAACCAGTTAATCCTCTTTAAATACTCAAACCTGCTAAATAACCATAAACCTCTCCTAATTTTGCATCAAATCTTGTTGGAAATGCACATCTACCTTGATATCCAAAGAAATGACAAATTGGTGAAAATGAACCCTTATATTTTGATTCAGCTTTTCTAACTTTAAGTTCCTCAGCAACTAAATGTGCTAATAATCTTTCAGTTTCAATTTGTGATAATTATATACCTCCATGAACTTCTCTTTCCATTAGTAATTAATGTTATGTAAAATCAGGAAGTGATTAGAATAAGGCAGCTGACCAAGGAGTTAAATTATTCATTATCTCTTATTTATTGGTTGTAAAATGTTTATCCAATTCTGTAATTAATTATTTAAATTATCCAATATGGGCTAATAAACCTTCAGGTACAAGTACAGTACCAAACTCTTTATTTTTTTATGATCTAAGTACAACCACATCTGCAATTTCTGATACTACTTCTTACAAGGTAAGTCCTCTTTCTTTTATATCTTCACTAATAAGTACTACATTTGGATGAGTTTAAAGTGCACATTCCAAAACAAGATGTGAAGGATCTCTTCCCATTAATCTTATAAAATACCAATATTTGACAGCACTGGCTGCATCTATCATGATATTACCAATCATTTAAGAATATGTCTTTGATGCAGTATCAAAACCAACAATCCCTTCTAAAAATGGATGACCAATATTATTATCAACTGTGCATGGAACTCCAATAACTCTAGTCTTAACATTCTCTTAAAGTAAATAATTGGCAACAATTATACAATCTGTGAGAGTATGTGAAGCACCTACAACTACTAATCCATCTAAAGATAGACTATTACAAGTTTCTTTAACTTATTATAATTCTTATACTGATCTCATTTTATCAGCAGTACGACCTAAATAATGATAACCACCTTAGTTTATGTAGTATTATAAACTATTTTAATTGATTTCAATGTATTCTTATTTGAAAAGACCTTATGTACCTCCAATAAATCCATATAATGTAGATCCACTTTACTCACACAATGCCAATAATCCTCTAATAATACAATTAGCTCCTGGAGATTATCGACCATTCAATGTAATGGCAATTCTTAATGGTTTATTATGAGTTTCATGAGCATCATCATGAACAAATTGAAATGCATTAATACTTTTAGCCATAAGAGAAGGGAAATGTTTTTCAATAGCTTTCATGACATTATCATTATAGTTATGATGTATAACCTTAAGACTTAATTTAAGATTTAAATGTTTAGGTAGAGCCAAAGGAGTATTGGTTCTTTCTAAACCTAATTTTGATAAATTTCTAAGATGCATTTCTTCATATGGTTTTTATTCATATATTTTATTATCTACTTCTTCAAATTCAAATCCTTTGCCATTAATAAGAAATGGAGGAACTTAATCACCTTCAAATTAGATTGGTCCAACAGGATGATAATAATCATGAAATGCCCATTTATCTCTATTTTATTAATAGAATTTAAATAAAGGTCCATCAAGATCAACTAATGCTTTTTTAATGACAGGAACAGATTTTCCTTTTCTAGTTTCAACATCCATCATAGTTACTAATGGGAAACCAGCAGCATTCCATTCAGATGGATTTTTATGTAAATCACGAATACAACTCATAACTCCAGTAAATTTATTTTCAATTAAGATAGCTGCATTAACACCCAAACTATAACAATAATCACAATCAAATTTAGTAGGAAAAGCACATCTACCTTCATATCCATAATAATGACTAATAGCAGAGAATTTACCTGCATATTTTCTACGTTATAATTCAGCTTAAACCATTTCAATCAATAGTTTTTCAGTTTCAATTTTAGCCACTTAAACATTACCATGTGGATCACGATCAAGTAATAATTAATCACTAATACTTCTAGGTAAAAATTATAATAATTTTGATGATTCAGGTGTCAATTTAGTTAAGATATTATTATATACTTAATCTGATTCCCATTTATTTGCTGCCAATATTGTATTAATTTCTTTAATTAATATTTTTACTTCATCAATAAATTCAATCAATCCTTCTGGTACTAAAATTACTCCATGATTCTTATTTTATTTGTATCTTTTCTCAATCAAATCACTTAATTAAGTAACTATTTAAATCAATGAAGTCTTATTCTTCTCTACTTCTTCACCAATATAAGCCCAAGTTGGTCTTGTCAATAATGCACATTCCAAAGCAATATGAGATGCAGATCTACCCATTAAACGAATAAAATGATAATATTTTTTAGAGGATACT